ATGGATCAAATACAACTTAAAGATTATAAACTAGCCATACCAGAGACCATCATGGATCAAATACAACTTAAAGATCATAAACTAGCCATACCCGAGACCATCATGGATCAAATACAACTTAAAGATTATAAACTAGCCATACCCAGGATCCTCATGGATCAAATACAACTTAAAGATCATAAACTAGCCATACCCGAGATCATCATGGATCAAATACAACTTAAAGATTATAAACTAGCCATACCCAAGATCATCATGGATCAAATACAACTTAAAGATTATAAACTAGCCATACCCCGTTAAATAAAGTGGTATTGTTAAATAAAGTAGTATTGTTAAATAAAGTAGTATTGTTAAATAAAGTGGTATTGTTGTTAAATAAAGTAGCATTGTTAAATAGTTGTATTGTTGTTAAATAAAGTAGTATTGTTATCATCTATACTTTCGTAAATATTTCGTAAAGTTGAAGAAGAAAAACAGAAGAAGGGAACAAAAAGAGGTACAGTAAATAATACGGTAAATAGTACAGTAAATATATTGGTTTTGTGACTATCCGTGAACACTGCTAAGACTAATAACAGCCCGTGACTATCCGTGAACATTGTTAAGACTAATAACAGTCCGTGACTATCCGTGAACACTGCTAAGACTAATAACAGTCCGTGACTATCCGTGAACACTGCTAAGACTAATAACAGTCCGTGACTATCCGTGAACATTGTTAAGACTAATAACAGTCCGTGACTATCCGTGAACACTGCTAAGACTAATAACAGTCCGTGACTATCCGTGAACACTGCTAAGACTAATAACAGTCCGTGACTATCCGTGAACATTCGAGTCGTCATAACCCTTGAAGATTTTGTTTATGGTCGAGTCGTCATAACCCTTACATTTAGAGCACAATTAACACAATTTTTTTAAATAACACTAAATGTATGTGTAGGCTTTAAATTTCAGGGACTTCAAATACACAAGCTTTAGATGGAACACTTCAGATTCTTTACTCAAGTAAAATATGCATATAATCTTTAAGTTGTATTTGATCCATGAGGATCTTAATACCACTTTATTTAACAGTGCTACTTTATTTAACAATACCACTTTATTTAACAATGCTACTTTGTTTAACAATACTACTTTATTTTTTTTCCATTATTTTTCCTTAAGCTTTTCGTGAGTTTATAATTAAAATGGTATTCTCAGATTTACCGATAATCTTACAAGTACGAATAGGAACCACAAAGGAAAACCATAAAATACTAACAAAAATAATTTGTGATGAGACTTAATTGAATAAAAGAGACTGGGAACAACGTAAATAGTAATCTTTATTTGTCTGAGAACATTTCAAATTAAATGAGGGAAGGAGAAGCTGGACAGCACTAAGACCTGAGAGAGCTGCCTGAAAGTAGTGTTAATTCTTTTCTTCATTATCCTGCTTTAAAGTAGTGTTAATTCTTTTTTTTTCATTATCCTGCTTTAAAGTAGTGTTAATTCTTTTTTCATTATCCTGCTTTAAAGTAGTGTTAATTTTTCTTTTCGTTATCCTGCCTGAAAGTAATGTTAATTCATTTTTCATTATTCTGCCTGAAAGTAGTTATTTCTTTTTTCTGAAGGCCCAAGGTTCGAACCACAAAATGCCCTTAATATACCTTCAACTATTTTGGGTTTACGAATGCTGTCAACCCTGCTATTCAGTTAATAAAGAAGACAGCAAGTGCTTCTAACTGGTTGCGTTTCCTCTGTTTAGAGGTGCTATACTTAAACTCCAGAGGGCGCTGACTCAACGCTCTAGCCCATTTTTTGCATGACGTGCCGTTAGGACAGCGCATTCCAACTTTCAATAAGTTGCTAAAGCAAAAACAACATCGTTAACATAAATTACCTATTTGACCGCGGTAACTTTACGGTATTACAACGCTAAAATCCGAGGTTTGATTCTCCGCAGTGGACACAGCAGATAGCCCAGTGTGAGTTTGCTCTAAAACAAACAAACAAAGCCTAAAACTAGGTAGTAAGTTTTTATTGTTAAAGTTATCATAAAGGCTTTGGTATTGATTAAATACTATACTTTTGTATCTAAACTTTTATTCTTGTTTCAAACTTTTCAAATTCCGTTTGCTTTTTCTTAGTAACCTTTGGAAGTTGGGAGGAGTGGTGGACATACGAAGGAATATCCGGTAAGTTGTTTTATTTACTTTAATTTTTGGTTAAACCGAACTTTTGAATAAAGTGTTTATTAGACTGCGAATTAATTTCGTTATTCATGTTTGTAAGGAAATATTCTCACGTGTGTGTGTGTTATGATGAATGAACTAAGCCTCATATGAAGGAAAATTTTCTTGATAAGTTCCTGTTAAAATAATGTAATGTATTTTTTGCAGGAAATTCCGTTCTTGATAAATAATTTGGATTCTCAGGTTTTCTTAAATTGATCTCTCTCTCTCATAAATAATTTGAGACTCTCGATATTTTGTTGCAAACTTCTCGCTGCATTGTTGTATACTCTGTTTGACGCCTCGTGTTCAGGAGGTAGAACTACAAAAAGGCTTAGCTATCGACTAAATAATTCAAAACTTTCATACAACGAAAGTGTTTTCGATATGAATTTGAAAATAATGAAATAAAACCCAGCTAAGTGTTTCCGGCATGCAGCTTGTCAAATGTCAGACGAACAACCAGCACAACCAAGATCTGTTACCTACACTCTTAAGCTTTACTTTCGGTAGTGCTGCAGGGAATATACGATGATCACGCTAACACTAGATTAGCATCGAGATTGTGTTAAATAAATAATAATAATAAAAAAAAAAACACTAACGTGTAAATTCAATTAAGTTTGTTGTGTCCGAGAATTTCATAAATGGGGAAACTGGAATTGAGCGTGAAACACCGCTTCTGTGTCGTACTTGGAGTCAAAATTCTGGTGCTTCCTCTTTACCCACTAATTAATTGTAGATAAATAGATAATTTTGTGGAAATTTGTACAGCCATATTTATGTGTGAAAAAGTCTCAGTTCCTGTATAAAGTCTAAATAATGTTATTTACAATACAGCCTGTATTGAACATTATTATAAAAATGAATTAATACAATAACAGTTTTTTGTGTATTGGTTTGTTGTTTGTTTTGAATTTCGCGCAAAGCTACACCAGGGATATCTGCGCTAGCCGTCCCTAATTTAGCAGTGTAAGACTAGAGGGAAGGCAGCTAGTCATCACCACCCACCGCCAACTCTTGGGCTACTCTTTTACCAACGAATAGAGGGATTGACCGTCACATTATAACGCCCCCATGGCTGAAAGGGCGGCATGTTTGGTGTGACGGGGATTCGAACCCGCGACTGGAAGGTTAACTGTTGTAACCAACCTCATCCGTACCCATCATCAGCTGGAAGGTTAACTGTTGTAACCAACCTCATCCGTACCCATCATCAGCTGGAAGGTTAACTGTTGTAACTAACCTCATCCGTACCCATCATCAGCTGGAAGGTTAACTGTTGTAACCAACCTCATCCGTACCCATCATCAGCTGGAAGGTTAACTGTTGTAACCTACCTCATCCATTTTACCAATGAAACCAAAGTTCAGCACCACTTCGAAACTTCATGACTTTTAATCGGCATGCAAACTTTCAAAACTTACTTGTTATGTCCGAGGAGGATTCTAAAACCCCTTACTTTATTCACCTTCTGACTTAATAACCGTTTCGATTTTGACCTTTATTACTGTCAGCGAATGACCAATGAACTATATACCGCACAAGTTGGAAGAGGAAAAACCATTCCAGAAATAGCATTCTTTCAACAGAAGAAAAGCTATTCCAGAAGTACATTTGAAATGAGGAGCACCAAGAGAGTGCACATGTAGTGTAGATTTGAAATGAGGAGCACCAAGAGAGTGCACATGTAGTGTAGATTTGAAATGAGGAGCACCAAGAGAGTGCACATGTAGTGTAGATTTGAAATGAGGAGCACCAAGAGGGTACACATGTAGTGTACATTTGAAATGAGGAGCACCAAGAGGGTACACATGTAGTGTACATTTGAAATGAGGAGCACCAAGAGAGTGCACATGTAGTGTATATTTGAAATGAGGAGCACCAAGAAAGTACACATGTAGCGGATATTTGAAATGAGGAGCATCAAGATGGTGCACATGTAGTGTACATTTGAAATGGAGGAGCACCAAGAAAGTATACGGTGTATAATACATCTAGATTGATCGAAAACATTGGAGTATACAATAGACCCGAAGAGAGACTTACGAAAAAGTGACTAAAATCTGAATGGATTGCTGGGATCTATCTTCTCGTGACAAACTTAGAGTTGCCAGAAGAATGATTGGTGAGGGATGCTGAGAGAACGGGCGCTTCTAGTTTAACAGGAGCCATTTAGCTTGGAAGTTTCCAACACACTTGACTTGTTTTCGCTCTCCTGCGAAACATTAAGGACTCTGTTGTTTTTTTTTAAAAAAACTTTACGATCTACTCCATCTTATTCTCTCAATTTCATTCACGTTCACTCCTTTCATCGCGTCACGTTAATTACGGTTTCTTTTCTTAATTTATCTGACCACTGAAGAAAGACTGAAACTGACCGTCTTTCAGCTTTGCTGTTTTGAAAATGATTTTGGTATGAAGAAGATTAAGAAAATGGTTCTCTTAGACGATTCTGATAAATGTTTGTTTGTTTGTTTTTGAATTTCGCGCAAAGCTACACGAGGGCTATCTGCGCTAGCAGAGCCCTAATTTAGCAGTGTAAGAATAGAGGGAAGGCAGCTAGTCATCACCACCCACCGCCAACTCTTGGGCTACTCTTTTACCAACGAATAGTGGGATTGACCGTCACATTATAACGCCCCCACGGCTGAAAGAACGAGCATGTTTGATGGGACGGGGGATTCGAACCCGCGACCCTCGGATTGCGAGTCGAGCGCCCTAACCACCTGGCCATGCCGGGCCCTGATAAATGTTACAATGAATTTAGGATAAAAACTGTCACTATTCTTTTTTTTTGTTGTTGTTCGAGGTGAGTAAATAAAATCAAAAACTAAAAGAAATAAAAAGATTGAATTAAGGTTGGAATTCTATGGTACGTTTTTATAAACAGGTGTTTTTTACCCTTTTTTTAAAGATAAGATGCAGAGGCACACTTTTATTTTTGTGATATTTTTGTTTAATTATGAGTAATAAAACAGGTACATTATCATTGATTTAAATGGCTCCTACCTATGCTAGCAGTTCAGTTGATTTAACGGTATTTAACGTTCACAATTGTAAATGTTCTTTATGTGGCATTTATTGCTTTTACTGAACTAATGTCTTCCAGTGGGTCAGCGTTGAGTTTAAAGACTTGCAACACTAAAATCCGGAGTTCGATTCTCCGCGATGGGCAGAAATGTCTCCCGGTGGGTCGGCGAAAAGTGTACGGAATTAAGACGCTAAAATCCAGGGTTCGATTTTCCGCAATGGACAGAAATGTCTACTGGTGGGTCAGCGATAACTTTTAGGACTTACAACACTAAAATCCGGGGTTCGATTGTCGTGATGAGAGAAGAAAAAAAAATTTAAACAACTACTGGATTAGCCTAATCAATTTCGTAAATCATTTAAATGACGTGGACTTTAAGGGTAAAAAGTAAAACAGTCATAACTGATTGCATAGCAGGAAATAAAGATGATCAAAGCACAATAGATTAGTTAAACAATAACAAAAGCCACCCACTGAAGGTCTGTGTAATTTATTCAATCATTATGTTTTTTTTTTTGTTTTGAAGAAACTTCCCTTAGAGTTGAAACAACTGCACCAAACTGTATTTGTTTAGAATTTTATATATATATATATATATATATACGCTTTTTTTTTCTTTCTGAAAGAAAAAGAACCAAGATTCGTTTCGTGAAGAGTTGTGACGAAGTAACGTGTCGAATATGAAGAGGGTGGGAATAAAAAAAAAACTGAACATATTGGCGTTTTATATTGATTATCTAGGGGGGGTCTGGCAAGATTCTGTGAACGTATCAAAAACTTTAGAAATTTCCGACAATGCAGTGAAAACTTTTTCTTACAAAAAAAAACAACAAAACAAACAATTTATAAGACGTACATCACATCTTTCTACGACACAAACGTACCACCTTTTGTGTATAAATGTATTTCGGTCGTTTAGGCAAAAGGCCAGATACACACGAGCGCCCTCTGTCAATTATTAGGAGAATCGTGAAATTACATAATATTGAATTAAAGTGTGCAACAATAACTATAACGAAAATTGCTCTGTGGGTATTGACTGTTCCACTTATTATTTTTCTCGAAATTATCATATTCGTGGGCGTCCGCGGGGGGGG